CTGATAACGGCTGTCAGAAGAGAGAACGATGTCAAATTTACCGTCCCTCCCATAGACGCTGCATTAGAAACACCCTCGCATTAGCGTTAACTGTTTTTTTGTAATTTGATGCAAAGGTGATATAATACAAAGAATAGTGTTATAAATGTACATACATTAAAAAAAAAATACAAATATGAAAAACTTTCGAGGATTTACGATGCTGATGACCGTTAAACGCGTCATCACAGTCTTGTGAAAAGGGTCCATCACCGCAGATTAGCATCACGCAAAGGCGGGGTTTGGAAAAACGAATCGTTGAGCGAATCGTTTGGGAGTCGTTCCCTGTTGAAAAAACCAGGGTATATTTTGAAGCATGGCTGCTGGTTGAGCTGGTTTAAGTTGGTCCTTTGCTGGTCATGAGCTGGTTCTTAGCTAGTCATGTGCTGGTCCTAAGCAACTAGCTCCAGCTCAGGACCAGCACATGACCAGCTTAAACCAGCTCATGACCAGCTAAGGGCCAGCTCAAACCAGCAGCCATGCTTCAAAACATACCTAACCAGCATATGCTGGATTTTTCAAGAGGGTTGAGCAAGTAAGGTAAAAATAAATGCATATTATAAGACGATGAAAGTGGTTTTTGACTTTGCATGCATGTCAACCTATTGCTGGGAACTCCCAAAACCAAAATATGATCCTTTCATAACCCATAATAGGGGCACTTTAAACTGAGGCTAAAGTTTGGCTCATGAATATTAATTAGGTTATATTCAGAAGTGCTGTGCCCCTCAGACTTTTGAGCCAAGTGGTATTCCCACTGGAAACTTTCCAGGCATCTTCCATAGTTTTATTCCTACTTGAGTAACTGAATTCAGACATTTTATAGTAGCTCTTTTAAATTTTCGAGTCTTGAAATGTTATACACACATCTTTCTGGTAAAAGAATGCAATTTGTGACTATTTTTCATAACCAATTTGTGTATAAACATAATTAGCACTCCAAACATTATTAAAGTATCCTCAGTGATTGAGGCCCAGTCCAACAGTAATCACAGATAGACAAAGAAAAACTAAAAGCAGTTTTATTTAAAACAGTTTTAGTTTTAAATCGGATTTAAAATACTTTCAATTCAATTTCCATATAAATGATTATATCTTGGAAACACAATATTTCTTTGGCCTTCTGACGGATCAGGATGTAGAAACACTGACATCTTCAGATTCCCAGAGTCTCTTTGGTCACCTGACATCCGAGCAGGACATTCCCCACACACACACACTGAGACAGATCTCCCACTGAAACACACACACACTCAAATCATCAGTGTGTGTCAAAGAACTGAAGATATTTGCTGAAACGTCTCTTGATGAACGCTGACTGAATTAATGTGGTCTGGAATGGAGATCGCACCTTTCTGAGAGCCGATCCATGACGCTGCCTTCATGGCCACAAACTGCCACTCCACCTGCTGCTCTATTTTACAGCCGTATAACCAGATCAGAGCCAGGAGAGTGGCCCATACTGACCCATCCACCTGTGTACAAACCATCATCCACTGCATTTGTTACTGGACACTGCACACAATCATCACTGTCTTATTATTTCATCACAACTCTCACCTGTGCTGGTTTCTGATTGGTCAGCTCATCCTCCATCTTCCCAAACACATCAGCCAGTGTGGCGTCCAGATCCCAGCAGCCTGACGCCTTTTGCAGAGAAACCAGCTGCAGTAACGGGTCTGCAGGTGAATACACATACAGAGAGACAGAAGTTCATGCATTGTTGAAAAACCTGTTCAACAAAAATCCTGAAATTGTCAATAAAAATAATAATAATAAAATCAACAAAACTGGACAAAATAATGAGCAAAACATTATTGATATTTTCACAAAAATGTGAACACAATAAGCAATAGGTGCAGTAGTGTTGTTCTTGTTTTTTGTTAATAATAAAATTAGTGTAATGTGTTGTCTTTTTTATTGTTGTGTTTTTTGCCTCTTTATCCTTGGTTGGTTGTTTTGACCTCGATATTGGACTATGTTTGGAATGACATACTACTATTACATTCTCACTATTATTGCAATGTATAATATTTATGCAAATTTTTGTGTGAAATACCCCTATGATGACCTACTACATTTGTCAAAATGTTCAGTATACAACATCTCTGCAAATGAGAACAATAATCATTAACCACAAGGTGACTTTGTTTCAGAATGAATTAAATAAAGCACACACGTTTGTTTCACTATATTAGTTAGGGCATTGCATATACATCCATTGATTTTATATCAGGTGATGATATTTGATGATATCAATGATATTTTCTTTCCCCAACCCATCCCCTATGCAAAACACTACATTTAAATTAAAACATGTTTTGGCTGATTTATAAGCCTTTTTAACTAGTGAAGACAAGTAAAATGTCATTTTATTTCACTGCATACGTGAGAACATTTGACCCTCACAAGAATAGTTAAACAAGTACACACACACACACAAACACAAACACACACACAAACACATACACATACACAAACACAAACACACACACACACACACACACACAAACACAAACACAAACACACACACACACACACACAAACACGTCAATCACTGTGGATTCATTGCCTTACCTTCTGTTACTCCAGTCACCTGTTCTGGAGCAAATGTAAAAGACAGAAAACAAGAGAATTAGCCTTTTTCACACTTCTGTGTTTCTGGCTTCCGGACTGGCGCTTGCAGGGTAAAAGTTTTTCCGGTGACAACTGCTTAACAAGAATGAGTTCGAGAATCAAAGTCTTTTTATACAAATTAGAGATTATGAAAATGCTTGAACTGCCAGTACTTTACTCTACAAAGCGCAAACATTTCACAATTAACTTTTTGCATCAGCTCGGGTCATCAAATACAAGTTTGTTTAATTCTAAATGGTGGCAGTTATAATTCCGTTCATTTTGCTGTTCTGTCCGTTTGGTGCTGGCTGTGCATTATGACTCTCCACGTGAATTTTTTTCGCTATTATTATTATTATTATTATTAAAGTAATATTGTATTTTCTACTTGCTCTCCTTTGCATTATTAACGTGATGGCTTAAACATACATTGTATAATATGTGCCCTGGGCAGAGGCGGACATTTACTTGAGTATTGTACTTAAGTACACTTTTTGAGTATCTGTACTTTACTTGAGTATTCTTTTTTCTGGAAACTTATGACTTTAACTTCACTACATTTGAAAGACATATACTGTACTTTTCACTCCACTACATTTCTATATTAGTCCTTTTTTGAACACTGACCAGTTGCAAATGTGATATGTATTTACAATTCAATAATAAGAAGTTAATATTGTGGTAAATATTAGACACAATATTGTCTGATTTTGCTAAATTGTGTAGGTGAAAACATTACCTATAAAGCCACAGAAGAACTCTTGTGCGTCTCCTAATAAAACACAATAGGTGTTGGACTTGAAGCAGCACTGCACAGACTGTTCTGTGTGTGACATCAAAGTACCGCGAGAGCGATTAGACAGCATTTTTAAAATGTTTGTTTTGATGTCAAATAAGTCTTGCGCTGTTTTGCTTTTTTGTTAAAGCAGTGTTGCTGTTGTAAAGTTATACAAAATATATTTAATATATAAACATAACATATTTGTCTTAAATATATACATGCATGTGTTTGTATTTATATATACATAATAAATATACACAGTATACACACATATATTATGTAACCAAAAACGTTTATTTCGGATGTGATTAATTGCGATTAATCGTTTGACAGCACTAGTAAAAAGTGATGTCGGAGATGGAGAATAGAAACCATCCGGCACTATGTTGAGCGTATTATCTCACGAGTCAGCGGTCTGAGTGGCATAAGAGTGACATACAAGTAAAATGTTATTTCTTTGTAGATTATATAACAACAACTTGGAAAACAGAAAAGTTAAGACGTATTATTTGAGAAAAGGGCATACTAATATAATAGGGGCAGACCTGTAATGGAACTAACTTTACCCTGCGCTGACGTAATTTCCGATTTTTGTGAATAGATTACGTTGTTGTTTTGAGTTTAATATGCTTCAACCGGACTCAGTTAGAATTGTTTGATGTATTCTTGGAAAAAATGTGTATCTGGATATAAATGTTGTCATTTTTAAGTAATTTATCACGATGTGGTGATTCGAGGGAAATGACTGAGTAAACTGAGATACGCTCAAATGTACCGGAGATCAAAGACTATATCAAAAGTAGTGCTGTCAAACAATTAATCGTGATTAATCGCATCCAAAATAAAAGTTTTTGTTTACATTATACATGTATGTGTATTGTGTATATTTATTATGTATATATAAATACACACACATACAGTATATATTTTGCAAATATTTACATGTTTATACATTTATATATTCATATTCTTATATTTTATATTATATATAAATATATTTAATATATAAACATAACATATTTGTCTTAAATATATACATGCATGTGTTTGTATTTATATATACATAATAAATATACACAGTATACACACATATATTATGTAACCAAAAACGTTTATTTCGGATGTGATTAATTGCGATTAATCGTTTGACAGCACTAGTAAAAAGTGATGTCGGAGATGGAGAATAGAAACCATCCGGCACTATGTTGAGCGTATTATCTCACGAGTCAGCGGTCTGAGTGGCATAAGAGTGACATACAAGTAAAATGTTATTTCTTTGTAGATTATATAACAACAACTTGGAAAACAGAAAAGTTAAGACGTATTATTTGAGAAAAGGGCATACTAATATAATAGGGGCAGACCTGTAATGGAACTAACTTTACCCTGCGCTGACGTAATTTCCGATTTTTTGTGAAAAAGGCTAATTCGTGTCTCTACAGCAAAACTGAACAAATACATTTCCAAAACACAAATAAATAAGTCCTCTAAAATGACTGTATGTTTCTCTTTCTTGTTGAAATGAAAATGAATAGTAACAGACTGACAATGTTCAAAGGCATGAACACATTTATGATCAGAGCAAAAGAGAAACATTTGTTTGATAATCTCTGAAGGATAAATGAAGTTGTACATCACAGTGAATAAAGTTGGTGAAAGGGTGTGTTTGATTGATTTGACACTTACTCTCCGTTACCAATGCTGAATAAACATCCTTCTCTGAGCATTTCAACTTTTGGGAATCTGCCACAACTGTCAAAAACACACCAGCACATTCAGATATTAAGAAATAACAAAAGTGAACAAACGGAAATAATAAATACACAAACAAGAAAAGCTCTGAAAGAAGACTAACTTCATGCATCCTGGGATGCTGTTTGAAGGAGTTCACATGCTCACTATTCACTCCAACTCATGCAAAATAATGTGTCTGAGTTTGTTCCAGACAGTGGTGGGGATTTTTCAATGACTCTTTTTGCAGGATACATTGTTACACTATTAGGTGGTGGCAAGTGACAAACTGTGTCTGAAACCACCCTTCATCCTCTTATTAAGTTCTCATTTCATTTGATAAACATTGATACTGGTTTCTTTTGACTAGTAACAGCTCTAGTGTGGTGTCTTATTATTCTAAATGAATTTATTGGTAACATTTAAGAATTTGACATGAAAGACGGGTTTTACATTTAAAAAAATTGCCCTGGAAGTTAATTTAATGGGGCAAATGTGCTAAATACGCTGATTTAAGTAATAGATGATAGAACAATGATGAGAATATTGCTTCAGAATAAATTACATTTACACTACAAAAAAGTCAAATAAGTATAACAGTTCTCAGATCCCCCGAGAACACCATCCTTAAAATAAAACCCATATATATAAAAATTTCACATGCAAACCCAACACACACACACACATAAGAGTAGTCAGTATAATTTATCTTACCGTGATTACGAGACAGGGCTTGACGCAGTTTCCCTAAAAAACAAATTAATTTCACATCTTGTTAACTGTTAAGTGACAGGCACTCGTTTAGTGCTCTCTGTTTAGCGCTGTGGTTTGGTGAGGCTTATAAACAAATAATTAAATGTACCAGTTTTGTAAAAATCAATGAAAACAATTATTTCTTCAAACATTGCGGACTTCACTCTTTCACGAAACTAATATTACATTGAAGTGCATTTACCCAGCAGTGATTTAGATTTAGTTCGTTCAGACGCAGGTGGCTGAGCAGTTCGTGCATCTACAGACAGAGAAAGCAAAGGTCAGAACAGATTCAGATCTGGAGAAACAGCCAAGAACAGACACATCCAACAGAACTAACAAACAAGAAAATCTTTGGAATAGGGATGGATTGAAGTTGACATTTTTGGCCCGAAACAATTTTGCTACTGCCTTTGTATTGCTTTGATTGTCAATGAACCCATAAAAAGAGGTACACTCAGCACTTTTAGCACTCAGTCATTTCTAGTGAATGTTACTGAATTAATGTTGTGAAGTTTGTCTTAGCAAATACCACAAACACCTTCTTGCAGGCACAAGAAACCCACACAGATTAAAAAGAACCACTTACCACATCCTCCTTAAAAAAAACCTGTACATTTTACATCTTAATGAGGTCAAATCAACACCTCAAATGCATTAAAAACTGTAAAGTAACAAGAAAAGCATGAGAGAATGAAAAGAAGAGTCTATATTATTTATCTTACCAGAGAAGGCTCCGTAATCCATCTCTAAAAAACAAATACATTTCACATCAAAATGAGCTGCTCATACCAAATGTAAACTGTGAAGTGACAAGGAACTACAATATGTTGAAATTATCATTTTAGCTGCGTTTTAACATTTTGTGAACCCTGGATAAATGAAATCCTGGGTCTACATTTCAGATTGCTCAATGTACTCAGGGTTAACAATTCATTCTAGGTTCATTCAAATTCATTCATAATCTGCTGTTTCACGCTGTACATTCCTAAACCCTGGGTTAACGTCCTTATTTGCAAATTTGCAGTGTCAGAGTCATTGACTGGACGAACACAGCACTCAACCAGTTTACGTAATGGCTCTAGCACTGTACATGCTTAATATTATATATTGCCGACTGTACTATAAAGTTTATACTGAATGGACTTTTCAGACTATAAAGGTAAAAATAAAACAGTCTCTTCTTCACTCCAACTGACGCGATGTCCGTCACCATTTGACATTTGCTCCCTTACTGAAATGGCAGTTTATCCAATGGGCAGTGTTTCCGTGACTGTGAATATGATGCATGCAACTGCCTGTTGGTTGCTAAGCATCTAGTCGAAATAATGTAACGCATTGTTTCAAACTAATTTGACACCGCAATGCAGGGTTAACAGGGTAAAAGCGCTGTTAACTCTGCTCTGGACCAGGGTTTCATAACCCTCGGTAAAAGCAGTGCTAACCCAGCTTCTACTTTACAAGCATGAACCATTTCTTTACCCAGGGTTAAAAGCATGTTTTAGGACATCAATAATCTGGAGTCACATGCAGTGTGAAAAGAATACTAATATGAGAGGAGCTTGTTATTAAAAAAGTTGCTCATGTATTTGTACTGCCAAAAGACATTTTTACACAATTTTGAATAAAAAAAAAAAAAATGTTTTTAATGTTTTTATTTGCAAGATGGTGACTAGACACCATTCACATGCAACTGTATGATGACAATGTAGTGTACTACTTTGAAGCATTTAACACAGAAAATGTCTTTCACATACAATATTTATAGAACAGTGGTTAGTATACAGTGTATATTCAGTCTGTAGCGAGCAAATGAACTACAATTCCAGTCCAAACATAAACTGTGTCAACCTCATGTCATATTTGGCAGTTGGTTGTGTGTGTGTGTGTGTGTGTGTGTGTGTGTGTGTGTGTGTGTGTGTGGTTCAGGTATTCTCTACATTCCGGGGACCAAATGTCAACACAAGGATAGATTTTTGAAACTAAAAATGCATTTGTTTTCCATAAAGGTTAGGTTTAAGGGTTTAACAGTGACAGAATGAATAATACAGAAAAAAATGCATAATCTTAATCAACAATCATTTCTTCAAACACCACATATTTCACTCATTCCGGGGACCAAATGTCAACACAAGGATAGATTTTTGAAACTAAAAATGCATTTGTTTTCCATAAAGGTTAGGTTTAAGGGTTTAACAGTGACAGAATGAATAATACAGAAAAAAATGCATAATCTTAATCAACAATCATTTCTTCAAACACCACATATTTCACTCTTTCATATAACACTTTCACATAATATTACATTAAGGTGCACTTACCCACCAGTGACCTACGCTTAGAGCGTACAGAGGTCTCTGGCTGAACAGTTCGTGCATCTACAGACAGAGAAAGCAAAGGTCAGAACAGATTCAGATCTGGAGAAACAGCCAAGAACAGACACATCCAACAGAACTAACAAACAAGAAAAGCTTTGGAATAGGGATGATGGATATGGACATGTTTGGCTAAAAACTACTTTGCTATAATCCATAGCCAAAAACCTTTATTTGCTTTTGAATTGTTTTGTTTGTCAAACAAAAAAGGTACAAGAGCCATTTTTAGCACTCATTCATTCCCAGTGAATGTAACTGAATTGATGTAATATTGTGACATTTGTCTTATAGCAAATACCACAAACATTCTTGCAGGCACAAGAAACCCACAGAGACTGGAAAGAACCACTTACCACATCCTCCCTAAAACAAAAAACTGTAACGAGGTCACATCAACACCTCAAATGTATTGACAAGAAAAGCATTTGAAATCCTTGCTGTCAGGTAAACACAAAATACCCACAATCAGAGCACTAATGCATAAAGTCTGTGTTTTACTACGTTGTCAAATGAACTACTAGTCAGCAGTGTTGGGGAAAGTTACTTTTAAAAGTAATGCATTACAATATTGCGTTACTTCCTAAAAAAGTAACTAATTACGTTACTTAGTTACTTTTTATTGAAAGTAATGCGTTACGTTACTTTTGTGTTACTTTTTAAATCTGGGCTGGGCTTGCTTGTTTGCTTTTAATATAAAAAGTTATATTTTTGGCAAATGTAAAAGCCCTTTCACACCAAAAGCCTCAGGCTGAAGGAAATGTAAATTCACATCTGTACAGTATACACAGAAGAAGAAAGTTCAACACCCATGAAAAAAAAACAATCATTGCATTAAATCATACTTCACAAAACTATTACATTGAGGTGCATTTACCTGGCAGTAACAGGCTACGTCTTTTGTCCCTCTCAGCTACAGGCAGAAAAACCAAAAGTCAGAACAGATTCAGATCTGGAGAAACAGCCAAGAACAGACACATCCAACTGAACTATAAACAAGAAAAACTTTGGAACAGACTCATGTGTTTATTGTGTAGAATAGAATAATTTCTTAAAGAGATCAAATCAACACCTCAAATGTATTAAACTGTGTGAAGCAGTATGCTACAACTTAATGTAGCATACTACTTTGAGTCATTCAGCATAGAAAATACCATTCACATACTATTTTTAAAGAACAATAAGTCATAAACAGTGTATATTCAGTGTGTGGTGAGTAAGTAAACTAGATTTAAGTTCCGAACACAACCATTGTATCAATCTCATCTCATGTTTGGCAGTTAGTGAGGTTTGGGTTCCCAAGGTTTGGGGGGACCAAATGTCTTCACTTGCACTTACCCCGGATTGGCCTAGGGTTTAGAGTAGAGTATTCTGGCAGAGCAGAATACTGTTTGCCAATGAAGCATTCATGTGTTTAATAAAATCTGATTGATCATGATGAATTAATGTTGGGATGACTGTTTCTGTTCTCGTAGCTAGTAATAAATAAAACTGTCAAAGTCATGAACTAGTGAGGTATTAAAGCGCCATCTGTTAGAAGACTTAATGCAGGATGGAGAGTTACTTATTTGAAAAAGTAACTCAGATATTTTCTTGTAAATTAAAAAGTAATGCGTTACTTTACTAGTTACTTGAAAAAAGTAATCTGATTACGTAACTCACGTTACTTGTAATGCGTTACCCCCAACACTGCTAGTCAGTAACTACACTGATTTAAGCAGCTCAGTTATTTTTAAGCTGTGTTTGATTCATTAAAATGAACTGATTCATTGCAGTCATTCATTCTGGAATCAAAGGTTTGTGCTGCAGATTCAGACACGCAGACTTGTCTTTGGTTATTGTGTGGCGTCTCACTGTTTTTCAGTGTCTTACACCATGCATGTTTCAGTTTTGTACTGCCAAGATAAATGTAGTTCAACTTTGGAAAATGTTGGAGTAGCATTCGGAGTAGCTGTGTGGTTTAGTGAGGTTTAGTAAATAAATAATGAAATGTACCATCAAATATGCCATGAGAAAAACAATCATTGCATTAAATCATACTTCAAATCATGCAAAACTATTACACTGAGGTGCATTTACCTGGCAGTAACAGGCTACATCTATCGACCGACTGAGCTACAGACGGAGAAACCAAAAGTCAGAACAGATTCAGATCTGGAGAAACAGCCAAGAACAGACACATCCAACAGAACTATAAACAAGAAAAGCTTTGGTATAGGGACGATATGGACATGTTTGGCTGAAAACTACTTTGCTATAATCCTAATAGCCAAAAACTTTAATTTGTTTTGTTTGTCAAACCAAAAAGTTGTGATTTTAAGCGCTCATTAATTTCCAGTGAGCGTAGCCGCAAGAATAACTGTCCCACCTAATGTTTCACTGCGTGTCTTCAGTAAATCCTGACAGTAGCTGCTCTTTTGCCAACACAAAAAAAGTTCAAAAACAAATACACAGCAGAACTGTTTCCGTCTCCGAGCAACATGCAGCATTTTTGAATGAGAAAATTTTTGAGTCAATGTAGCATACTACTTTGAGTCATTCAGCATAGAAAATACCATTCACATACTATTTTTAAAGAACAATAAGTCATAAACAGTGTATATTCAGTGTGTGGTGAGTAAGTAAACTAGATTTAAGTTCCGAACACAACCATTGTATCAATCTCATCTCATGTTTGGCAGTTAGTGAGGTTTGGGTTCCCTAGGTTTGGGGGGACCAAATGTCTTCACTTGCACTTACCCCGGATTGGCCTAGGGTTTAGAGTAGAGTATTCTGGCAGAGCAGAGAAAGCAAAGGTCAGAACAGATTCAGATCTGGAGAAACAGCCAAGAACAGACACATCCAACAGAACTCACAAACAAGAAAAGCTTTGGAATAGGGATGGATTGATATGGACATATTTGATCCTAAAGGCCGAAACCCTTTATTTGCTTTTGTATTTTGTTTGTCAATGAACCCATAACAAGAGGTACAAGAGACGTTCTCTTTCAAACATTCGTTCGGTATCTCACTATGGGAATCGCCTCAGGCGTGACCAATCTTGGAAGCACCAATTACACCACGTCTGCCCATTGCTTGCTTCGGACAGCATATCTGCAATACGGGAGTATTGTCTATATCCCATAGTGAGATACCGAACTAATGTTTGAAAGAGAACTTTAGGTTACTCACGTAACCCCAGTTCTCTGATAACATGAGTGTGGTATCTCACCACACTTCCCTCCTTGCAGCAGCACGGAGAAGAGATATGCTGAGAATGTGGTAGGGATCGTTATGCAGTGCTATATATGAGGGAGGCGGGACTCCCGCATCACTGTCGTGATTGGTCTGTCAACTGACAATTGTAATTGGTGCTTCCAGGATTGGTCACGCCCGAGGCGATTCCCATAGTGACATACCTCACTCATGTTATCAGAGAACCGGGGTTACGTGAGTAACCTAAAGTTTTTATCACTTAGTCATTTCCAGTGAATGTTACTGAATTGATGTTATATTGTGACATTTGTCTTACTAAACACCACAAACGCATTCTTGCAGGCACAAGAAACCCACGCAGATTGAAAAGAACCACTTTCCACATCCTCCCTAAAACAAAAAAACCTGTACATTTCATATTCAAACGAGGTCAAATCAAAACCTCAAACGCATTAAACTGGGCCACCGTCCCTGTGCACGGCCCAGGTGTGTTTGATTCACTAACTGATTCACTGCGGACATTCATTCTGGAATCAGACTACATTGGTTGCACTGCTCGTTGCTGTAGTTTCAGACATGCAGACTTGTGTCTTTGGTTATTGTGTGGCGTCTCACTGTTTTTCAGTGTCTTACACCACGAGCGCCACAGTTTTAAGATGGTGTGCCAAGTTAAATGTAGTTCAGCTTTGGAAAATGTTGGAAAAGAGCACTTCCTGTGTGAATACCCCTTACTCATTCTGTGGTTCGGTGAGGATGGTAAATCAATAATTAACTATTGATTAATTAATTAATGAACTATTACATTAAAGTGCATTTACTTGGCAGTGACAAAGCACATCCATTGACC